ATATGTATATGTAATGGTGTCTACTGATCAGAGCAGTCAGAATTAATTAGAAAGTAAATTAACTTTTCTCTTTTCTAGAATTCCTGCTAGTGACACAGTTTTCTCACTAGGAAACACTAATCAATATATTTACATTAATTATTACCCAATTAAATCTAGTGCTTGGCATGCTTTGCATACCAGCATTAATGAGCACAAATAAAATGCCTTTGGTTACTAGGCAAAACTGCTTATGTTGTCTATGGTTCCAGTGCAATTCTTTTCTTCTATTCAGTATTGACATAGTCTGAGACCTTGAAGTCTGATAAAAGACATAAAAGAAGATGAGTTTTTTAAAAGAGTTGTTACATTTTTCAGTTGAGGTTGTTCAGGTATAGTCTCCCAGTAAGCTACCTGTTGGTGATTAATTTGTGGTCTCCTGAAATGGCATGAAATGTATAAAATGAGTGACCTGTTTTCATTTTGGTATGCAACTTTAAAAAATCTATGTATGTAAGTCTGCAAATGAAAGAACGTATTCCTGCCCACAGTAAATTCTGTAGTCTTCTACTGATTTTGCTCTCTGTTGCTTTGAGGAGTTTGCTTGTATTTCATGGGAAGAGAGTTTAATCCAATATATCTTGAAAGATAAAATTACTGCAGAATTTGGGTTGAGAGTTCAAAGCAAGATAGGGATGTGTGACTGTTTTGCTTGGTTTGCTTTAATTATATGCTGTCGAGTCTTCCCAAGATCTAACAGCCCTTCCCTCTGGTGGCTCTCTGAGACTACTGGGCATTTTGCCCAAGGGCACAGAAGGGCCAGGCTATGTAACCCCTTTGGCCATGCAAGTTCCAAGTGATCTTAGGTGACCCCTCTCCTAGGAGGGAAAGTGAGGATTCGAACTCATGACTTCTCAGCAAAGAGTTCTGTGGAGCCATACCGCCTCACTTCTTGGTTCACTTGAGCAGAACAAAGCACAAAATTCCCTTCCTCCCCATAAATGCAATGAATTTAAGATGGGCCGGGGGGGGGGAGGAGGAGGGGAGAGAATCCCTGAATGTGGAAGACAATGAAATGGGCATTACACTCATCCAGGCAGATTTTAGATACTTCGCTATTAAAAGGCTGGGTTTGAATCCCTGTGTATTCAGCCAAATTTTGTGTTGCTGAATTAATCTTGCTCTTTCTTTCTTTCTTTCTTTCTTTCTTTCTTTCTTTCTTTCTTTCTTTCTTTCTTTCTTTCTTTCTTTCTTTCTTTCTTGTTTTTTAAAAGCTTCATGGGAGGCTTGTCTAGCAGAGTCTATGTATATGTAGAAACTGGACTATTGAATTTGACTTGATGGGTTGGCGTAGATACATAGGAATTTGCTTTAATTTTATATTTTTGGTAAGAACCTAAACAAATTTGGCAATGTTCTTCACAGAATGGATGGAAATAATTTAAGATTTTTTAAAAATGAATGTTGCACAGAATGAAATTGATCAAGTCTACCATCCCTCTTCAGAAGCTTCCCATGCTTTCCTCTGCTTCATATTCTGCTTTTTGAGGGGAAATGCCAGTTCCAAACAAACTGGAGCAAGGTCATAGGAGGGCAACAAGTATGATGAGGGGACTGGAAACCAGGCCCTGTGAGGAAAGACTGAAAGAACTGGGCATGTTTAGCCTTGTGAAAAGAAGGCTGATGGGTGATATGATAGCACTTTGCAAATATTTGAAAGGCTGTCCTACAGAGGAGGGGCAAGATCTGTTCTCTATCATCTAGAGGAGGGGCAAGATCTGTTCTCTATCATCCAGGAGTACAGGGCAGGTAATAATGGGCTCAAGCCACAGGAAGCCAGATTTCAGCTGAACATCAGGAAAAAACTGTTTAACCATTAGAGCAGTACAATAACAGAACCCATGACCTCAGGAGGTGATGGGCACTCTGCAGTACAACAACAGAACCCATGACCTCAGAAGGTGATGAGCACTCTGTGTTGGAGGCATTTAAGGGAACATTGGGCCACCATCTGTCATATCTGCTTTGATGTGTATTCGTTCCTTGGCAGGGGGTTGGACTCGATGGCCTTAAGAGGCCCCTTCCTACTCAGTTATTTTATGGTTCTATGAATCCATTTTTGCTCTCAATTTCTGCTCTCTCTAAGCCATGTCCTATGCTTTGCGTCCTAGGCCTATTTGACCAGTTTGTGTTAGTGGATACTCCTGGGGCCCTGCTGGTGGTCATCCATGCTGTTCCGCCACCCTGCTTTTTCTCCTTTGTGCCCTTGTGCAATGGAAAATCACTACATTTAGACAGGCAGCCCTTAAAGTTGTATTTTCAACGGTCGGCAAATTTTGAAGGCTCTCAGCAAACACATAAAGCTAGGTTTGTGAAGATGAAGCTACACTATATTGCTTTGACTGCACATGATCATTTTATGTGTGCTCAGGGAAATGCGGAGGGACCCCACAGACATTTTAGCTTTGTCATTATAATCTGAAGGGCTACAATTGAACCATGAATGCATCATGCAGGGTGGCTGGTTGTGTGTCATGTGACAGCTATAATGCATTTATTGCTTGCACCAGAGGAAGTGGTTCGTTTTGGCTGTGAATAGACACCTATGAACTCGTTTGGCTTGAAACCACATTAGAGCTGTCCGAGGACTTAGTTGTTTCCACCCTCAGTGGTTGTGTTTGCATCGTTTTTACTACCATGTTTCCCTGAAAATAAGACAGGGTCTTATATTAATTTTTGCTCCAAAGAACGCATTAGGGCTTATTTTCAGGGGATGTTTTATTTTACAGTTATGTCACCTTCTTCTGGTTGCTGCACAATGGTGGAGGCCGGGGTTTCACTCAACTGGGGTTTATTTTTTGGGTAGGGCTTATATTATGAGCATCCTGAAAAATCATGATAGGGCTTGTTTTCAGGTTAGGTCTTATTTTTGAGGAAACGGTATGTACATGGATCCTCCCCATCAAATAAGCTTGACTTGTTGCTGATATCAAACAAGGACATTTTGTATTATTTGCAATGGACTTGATGCTTCCTGATCACCTTTAATAAAATATAAGGTTGCTTCCAACTTGGAGAACAACTTCTTTTCAATCCGTGTAGTGGCATCTGTATTCCTAGATGTCTTGAAACATTTTCTAACTATTATTCCCTGGCACGAATCCAGTGGGGGAATCCAATCCATGGAGTAAGGCTGTGCAAACAGTTTGTATAAATAATCAAGATGTAACATGTGGTTCTTTGGGTTACTTCTGCCTCGTTAGTTGTGATTCACAGCACTGCATGAGATGTGTACAGGTTCTGAGGTAATCGCACATTCAGCAGGAGACTTGCTAACTGTACTCTGCATCCCCCTACACTTTGTGTTTCATGTATTTCACACCTATGTTCACTGTGTAGTCCTAAGTTACTTGTTTCAGAATTTTGAATGGCGGCTCCCTTTCCACTCCGCTGGTAGTTTTGACAAATCCCTGAAAAACTCTCAGGTTTCAGAAATGGCTTTAAATGGATACAGTCTCCCCGATTCGAAGCCAGGAAATGTCAACTTTAGAAACTTGTTTGCAAGAATTCTTTAAACATTCCTTCGTTTCGCTCTGGAAATGGAGTTTGCTCAGAACAAGTTTTAAAAAAGAAATTAGCGATTAAGCTTGCATTTTTGGGCAGTTATGCTCTTAAAGTAATTTCTGAAACTAATTTTGAGGCCAATGTTTTCCTTGCATGTTAACAGTTTAGATATTTTTCAGTAAGAGTGAGAGCGATGTTTCTGACACGAAAGCCAGTGGACAGTTTTACACCAGAGAGCACGCATTGGCTAATGTGCGCTCAAGCATGGCATGAGGCAACACCCGTGGGCATGTTTTCCACTGGCAGCTATAATGGGTGCCAGCATTTAATTTATTATTTAAGATGCTGAGGCACTGAGAGAAACAAAAGCAGTCCATGGTTTGCTTCCCAACTGCATCTAATCCCTTGGGCACTTGGGTCTCAGAAGAAGGGTATTTGTGAACAAAATGAATTATGCTCACACTAAGTACAGTCACAGTTTTTAGCTTTTCGTGACAAAGCCTGCGTTAAAGGCGTTGCAGTATTGCAAGTTGCAAGATGGACCTCCCGAGATAATCCTTCCATCCTGGTTGTCATTCACATAGCCAGTTGGGAGAAAAGCAGACCAAAGGGTGCCTAAAAATGATTATTATCTTTTTAAAAAAAGAAAAATTGTAATTTTTTTGGCATTAGAAAGCTTTTGTGGGGTTATAGTTTCAACTTAAAATGTATTACACTTAAAGATCTCATTATGGGATAACAAATTCTAATTCTGCATTATGAGGCAGGGTATATTCAAATAATATTTTCTTTAAAAAATTGTATAAATTGGGCCCAAGAGTCCTGGGCTTGGGTCCTCAATTTTATAGGATTCCATAGGCTTATGCAAAGATTATTTAGGTTAATATTTCTGTTTTACCCAATACTTAGCCTGGTAGATGGCCATCTGAAAAATCTGTACGAGTAGTTCTCAAAGGGAGCTTGAGTCTCCAGAGATAAATGTCAACGTATTGAGATGAAAAATAACTCATCTGATCAGCCCTGTTCTTCAACTCTAAGTGAACTTTTCCTGAAACATTTCCCCCTCTTCCTCTGATATAATGTTGGAAATTCTTGAAAATTCTGAAAATTGCCAGGATTACTTTCAATAGTTTCCTTGAATAATACTTTTTTAAAAAAAGAATGGCAGAGATTGCTGTTGCCCCTCTGCAATTCAGTACAAATTTAAGGGCTCCCCTCTCTCTCTCTCCAAAGTGCACACTTTCAAACCCTAGAAGGGTCACTGATTATTGGAAGGAGAGCCAATCAGAGCAAAGGGACTGTGAAAAACATGTATTAAGATTATAGCAAGCAAAAGGACATCTTTGCTATGTGATAGAAAAGGAATAATCAAATCTTTCTGATTTAAATCAGTTTCATTTAAGTCAGAGCCACCCTGCGTTGTCTTAACGTCTGATTCCTTCCTCTTTGCTTTTCAGATCTCTGGTTGAAGAGGAGGACACTCACATGAAAGTTTCTCTCGGGAGCAGCGATATGGGTGTGTCTGCCCACCTGCAGTCATCGAAAACGGGGACCACCAGATTCTTCACCAGCAATACGCACAGTTCTGTGGTTCTGCAGGTAATCTGGCAGCTTGAACTGAACTGCCTGTTGTGTCTTTCTTTTGAAAGCTCGTTGCACCGCAGTGGGATTTCACAGAGATCTTCTCGGTGGGATTGTATCCCTAGTCCAAGTGTTAATTTTTGTTTTGATGATATTGCAGCGGGTCCCAGACATTTTGCTGCTTAAGGCAGGGGGACAAGCAGTCCAGCCTTGTTTCCCCGGTGCCTGAAGGGACAGGCTTGTTTGAGGTGTGCAGAGCTGGCTGAGCTACACGCAGGGGAGAAAGCGGGAACTCAAGAAGAATAGCTAGGGAGTGCCTGCTGTGGTCTCCCAACATGTGCTGCCTGAGACAGCTGACCTGCTGTAGTGAGATGATAGGATCAGCCCTGGCTGCCCCAGAAGAGTCCAACTTGTGGTTTGAAATCAGGCGCTCAGGTGTATGTTTTGTTTGTCAGCTTCTGAAACTCTTTCTTCTGCTCTATCCCTCCACCACTCATTGCCAGTTTAGCATTCTGATCGTCAGACTGGCAACGGTGTCAAGGCACCTGGCTTTCCTCTGTAATTGAAGGAGACGGCTGACATTTTGCACAAGCAGAGTAGGCCACTTGCCTGGGAATCACATCAGAATGCCTTCAAGGGAAGTCGCCCGGTGAAACTTGTCTCTCAGCGTTAATATTTGGTTCTCTGTATCTCCCACTTTCCTTGGCTCAGAGCATGTTTCAACGGGCAATTCAGTTTCATTATCCATCAGCACACCGTGCTGGAGTCCAGGTACATCCTGTGATCGTGGTTATGGGAACATTTGCTCCTGCTACGGTGTGGGCTTGCCAATCTGTGTCTTGCATTTAAAATAAGAGTCAGTCTCACACCTTGAGTACGTTCCATTGTTTGCCGTCTCCCCCTCTCCCCAGTCCCTGGTGTGCCAGTGATTGGATGTAGGGGGAAGAGTTTCTGCCGTGCAAATGATACCTGTGTTCTGGAAACTTTCTGTAAACTAACTTTCAGTTTGTGACTTGCCGATTTTGGATAGGAAATTAAATGTTGCAGAGATGGCCCTAAGTTTTTGTGTGCCCCGTGAGTAGCCGTGTCAATATATTGCAATAAAGAGAACAAGTGTATTGTTTGTTTAGATTTTATTTAAAATAGTGATACCTCACCTTTTTCCTCAAGAGGACTTGGGGTGACTTATCATATTAAGGGCAAGCAGTACAAAGACTAGAAGGGGAGGAGAAAAACCCCCCAAAAACAATAGCCAAACTACGAGGCAGCCAGTCATTGAGAAAAAAAACCCTGACCTCCTGTGGGAGAGTGCTCATCTACGAGTGTGTGTTGGGCTGGGGCTCTATAACATCCCACCTGTTCCCTTTCCTGCTTCATTGCTTCCTCAGCCTGGGCAGAGGAAGAGTTGTTGTGAGCCAGAAGAAGAAAAGCAATATCAGAGGATGTGCCTAATGGGAAGAGAGAGGTGGATACTGTGGAAAGGAACAACAAAACAGCACCATTAATCCTCCAGGATGTTCAAGGTCTCTGTAATGCTTCCAGCACCCTGTTGGATGGGCTGTTCATAGTTTCTGGCCATATTACAGATCAGTGAGGCTCTATTTCATCAAGACCGGTGGTTCCCAACCTTGGGCCCCCAGATTTTCTTGGACTACAATGCCCAGAAATCCCAGCTAGTGGCAATGACTTCTGGGGGTTTTATCGTCCCACGAAGATCTGGGGACCCACAGTTGGAACCAGTGATCTAGACAATTCGTGGCAGGGACAAGATTGAGTCTGCTGGTTTCCTTTTCATAGCTGGGCTGTCTAACTATCATCAGAACTAGACGCTGCCTCTTGCAGCACTCCGTTCCAACCTTCATTCTTTAGAGTATCGTAATTAGTGGATTAGCATGATTGATATTTGAGAGGTCTGCTGAGGTTTAAAAACTGCAGCTGTATCGTGCTCAATATTCAGTCTGTACGCTCAGTTATTTTCTTTCTGCTTTTCTATTGTGCCTCTCTTTCTTTTGATAAATGTGAGTTTCCCTGTTTGAATTTTTATGTTCCTTATAGTGTCTTAGGTCATTCTTTGAATTCAAAGGGAGAAAAATAGCAGGCGGGGAGGAAAGACCGCTTTAAAAAGTTTGCACGTGCATCAGCAGAAATGGACCAAGTGTAATAATAGGCTCCTCACATCCCAGTTTTTATTATTAATATTTCAGCAGTTCATAATGAATTGTAACCCAGATCCCAGAGTTCTAGATATTGGATGCTAGCAGGAGGCTGCGTGCAAGGAGATAACAACTCTGATAAGTTTGGGTTATGAATCCAAATTGCAGGAGCTGGGTTAGATGTACTGAAAGAGAGTCTCGTCTTTGGCATCTTGTATGAGAAAGAGATGGTTTTCTCAACATTACGAGACAATAAAGACTGGAATTTTTGAATTCTTTCTGTCTCTCTCTATATATATTGCTGACTGTAACTGGCGATTCTGTCATCATCACCATCAGTAAATCATCACTGCTTAAAGGCTTTCTTCAGTGATTTCAGGGTACACACAATTTTGTTGCATTGTGTGAGAGTTGCATGAACCCCCCAAAATAACCTTTAATCCTTGGTGATCTGCTGCGGCTGCCATGGTCACCGCTGTGAATGCGGAGCTACGCAACAAGATTTGGGTCAGTGAGTTGGGTTTCTTGAGTTCCTGCCAGCCCTTTTAGCCAGGCCATTGGATGGAAGCACTCTGGGAGTAGCATCTAAAGTGGTACTTCCTAATAGCCCTTTTAGCCAGGCCATTGGATGGAAACACTCTGGGAGTAGCATCTAAAGCGGTACTTCCTAACTTTGGGTCCCTAGATGTTCCTGGACTGCAGCTCCCTGAAATCCCGGCCTCCACAGCTACTGCTGAAAGACATCTGGGAGTTTATAGCCCTTTTAGCCAGGCCATTGGATGGAAACACTCTGGGAGTAGCATCTAAAGCGGTACTTCCTAACTTTGGGTCCCTAGATGTTCCTGGACTGCAGCTCCCTGAAATCCCGGCCTCCACAGCTACTGCTGAAAGACATCTGGGAGTTTCTTCCAAGAATATCTGGGGACCCAAGTTTGGGAACCATTGACCTAAAGGGTCACCTGTTCCCACTGGTGTTCTGTCTAGGAGTTGGTCTGTGATTAGTGGGGGCAGAGTGACCAGTGGTCCTTCCCTCATTGTTCCAACCTCTGATTTAAACTGTGAACCTGCCCATCCTCTCTTGGAGTATCCAAAACAATCTTGTGGAACAACCGATGCCCTGAGCGCATCCTCGACAACCTGGGAGCTTGCTCTGTTCTTTTCCCGAGAAGGAAAGACCGCTTGGGTTTCTGTTCCGTGGCAGCCGCTTCGCTCTTGCTGCTCACGCGGTCGGTCGTCTTCTCTTGCAGGGTTTTGACCAGCTGCGAATAGAAGGTTTGCTTTGTGACGTGTCGCTCGTGCCAGGAGACGGGGATGAAGTGTTTCCTGTGCATCGGGCAATGATGGCATCTGCGAGTGATTACTTCAAGGCCATGTTCACAGGTACTGTTCATGTGAGGATAAGGCCCACCCTGGCCTTTTAAAAAGTCCACCTGTATTTATTTTTATTTATTTATTTTATTGGATTTCTACCCCGCCCATCTAGACCAAAGGTCTACTCTGGACGGCAAATATATAAAAGTATGTCTAGCATTAACTGTTCTTAAGGGCTTCGTACCGCTGGTGCTTTTCTCTCTCAGTTCAGCTGGTGCTTATATATGAAGCTGGCATTTTTTTTTCATGAGCAAAGGCATTCTACTGTAGGACAAGCTCTCTGAAGTTTTCATTTACATATATATATTTCTGAATTCTGCTCTCAGGTGGAATGAAAGAACAAGACTTGATGTGCATTAAGCTTCATGGTGTGAACAAAATAGGTTTAAAGAAGATAATTGATTTTATTTATACGGCAAAGCTTTCTCTCAACATGGACAACCTTCAGGATACTCTAGAAGCTGCCAGCTTTTTGCAGATACTGCCTGTGTTGGACTTCTGTAAAGTGTTTCTTATATCTGGGGTAAGATGTCTCCAGTTATTGCTGTATGTTTCTCTGACTCTGACTTTTGTCTGTGTATATCTCCGTGACTCACAAGGAGTCGACAGCCCAAAGATTCCTTGCACGCATCAGACACAAGCCTCCTAAACTAAAGTCAAAGTTATTATTTTTATACTCGTGGGCCATGGGTTTCACGAGTTATTTTGCCTGTAGTTGACATGAATGCAGATTTGTTGGGTGATCTTCTTGCTGAAGTATGCATAGGTTGGGGGCACTGATCAATTGCCTTATTGTTATTTAACTCTTCAGGAATACAGTTATGTAAACAGCAGTGTCTTTCTTCATTTCAATATGGTGGCCTTCCCCTCCCCACCCCAACCTACCCTGTTTCCATGTAATAGCACTTCTTTGCACTGAAAAACACAGTGCAGGTTTCGTTTGCTCTGTGGTTTGGGCAAGAGCCTGTCATGGTTAGGTAAGGTTTGTTATCCCTGGTTTATAGCTGGGTTTTGGCCAGAGCGGAAGGACTTCAGGGTCATCCTGAAAAAGCCAACCATCTCCTGTGCCATTTTGCAAATTCCACATGGCACAGTTTCTTGGAGGAACCACTGAGAGATTGGATTAATGTGCAACTGTTCAAAAACGACACTCTTGGGATTTACAGCATCTGCCTTAATATCTTTTGAGAGACGAGTGGGTGAGGAGGAACACAAATTGCCTCCATGCTTTGAAGTTTTTTAAAATAGAACTCGGGATGATCTGAGGTGGTTTGTGTTCTCTCTCCCTCTTTCTCTCTGCTACCTGCAAAATGGCACAGAAGACAGGAGGCCCCTCATTCTCTTATCAAGCACAGAGGACATTGATCTTCTTTCCCATCTTGGGCCAGTCCTTGAACCTCAGTAGCCAGAATACCAGAATTGAGGCATCCCAGGCTACTGCCAGAGGTAGAATTCTATTTGCTGGACATAGTTCCAGCTGACCTTTAACGGGAAATTTAGGGATTGAAACACACAGATACACAAACACACACACAAACACATGATGTCCGCTTCTGGATGTCTGAGCACTGAGGTCCAGAGAACACTCAAGAGGCAATGGAAGATCCACATTCTTTACTCCTGGGTTTAGCTGTCCGGATATAGGATTATCTTTGTGTTGGTTACGCTTACAAACCTATTAACTGCTGGCATCTCCTAAATCCTCTCCTTTTCCATTTCTGTTCCTGCCGCTTCAATTTATTTCTGACAGTTTTCTAGCTTCAGCTGTGTTATTTGGAGCTGCTGTCATCAGCTGCTCCTATCTCTAGCTTTTCGGTTTAGCTGCATTAGCTGAATCTGACACTCTTTGCTGCCCTTCTCTCTGAGCTTTGCCACCAAGATGTTTCAGTCCCATTGCAAGAAAAATACACATTTTCCCTGCCTCTCTCCTCCTCTCTCTTTCTCTCTTTCTTTTTTGTTGGTTCTTTTTGGTAATAAGGAAATGAACCTAGTGATTTATCTGCAGCCTCATCCTATTTGGTTTGTGGAGATATTACACACAGCCATGGTTCACAGCCTTGGTATTCCTTTGTGAGGAGAAATCTGAGTCTTAGTAGGCTTGTTGAGAATAGAGGTGGGAGAACATCACTTCTGTCTCTGGACCCAGAGGCGTCTCTTGGGATTTGCTCCAGTTTTTCCAGCCTGCTGTAGTGGCTCAGAGCTGTTGGGTGGCCTGCCAATGCCTGCTACTTCGTTGGCTGGGAGACCTTGTGTACTTTTGCTGTCAAACTGGTGAACGGGGTGATCCCCAACAAGGGTCTTGGTGTGCAGTGCCTCTGAATCATCCACAGAATACTCTTGTGGTATGCCTGTCTTATAGAATCCTAGCGTAATTCAGTTGTAAGGGGCCTCTAAGGCTCAAGCTAGGAATCCAAATCATAGCAGATCTCACAGGGGGTTCTCCAATTATCTCTTGAATGCCCCCAGCATTGGAGCGCTCCCCACCTGCCAAGACCATGGCTTCCATTGTCGTACTGCTCTAACAGTTAGAAAGCCTTTCCTGATATTCAGCCTAAATTTGGCTTATTGTAGCTTGAGTCCATGGTTATGTATCCTGCACTCTGAGATGACCGAGAACTGATTCTTCCCCTCCTTTGTGTGACTACCTTTCAGGTATTTGAAAAGTGCCATCCTCTCTTCCCTTGGTCTTCTTTACTCAAGGCTATCTCAAGGTCTTGACAAGCTTGCCTTTAGTATGTAATCCGGCTATGGTTTTCCACCCCTATTTTGGTCTTCTTACGTTAACAGCGAAAAAAATTAATTCAGATGAAATAACTTCATGAATCGTGTAAGTTGTGAGCTGTAGGGAGCCTCTGGTTTCTTTAGTGAAAGGTGTCTTTCTGTTTTTTCCCCTCTTTAAAGGTAGCCAGTTTAGGCTGAGTAACACCTCCTCCCCCTGCAAGGGAAAACAACAGTCTTGTAGGACCTTTAATATGAAATATTTCTTATTTTTCATAAGCTTTTGGATCTACAGGTGCCCTTCTTCTGATTGATGGAATGGTTTTGTCTCTGTGGGGAGTTTAAAACCTCTTCCTGACGGTTACCCCGTGGACTCTGTTGACTTCTTCTTAGAAGCCAAATATCTAGAATTCTGGCTTAATAATAGGCTTGTGCTATAATTTTTGTCCAGTGTTCCATTACTTCACCACTACTTTAAGACTTCCTGTTGTAGCTTCATTTTTCTTCTGGTTATCTGAAAGCTGGGTTTGCTTCTTCATTCACACATCGGGACCAATGCAGTGGTGCTTCCAGAATGTTAAAATATATATTTTTAAAAACCATCACCTGGCAGTCAAGATAATTTGATGCCATGTTCTAAATGTAGCCTGATTAATTTGATGATAGCAGGGTAATCTCTTTTGAGAAATGTTATTTTGTCTATACTGTGGCACACACAATTAGAATATTGCAGCTGCAGACCTAAGCGGTTACTTGGAAGGATTTTTGTTGTTGTTTCTAAGGACACCCTGTAAGACTTCTCAGCAAACCAGTTTTGAGATTGGGGTTGAGGTCCAAGGACTTCATAAACCAGGGGTGGTCAGGCTCTGGGATTTAGGGCCACTTTTGCCCCCCATTCCCACCCTTATCAGGAAATGAAGCAGCCAGCAACAATGGCATCAGAACTGGCCGGAGGTCCTGCTCCAGTTTCGTGAAAACCTTGATATATTTCTTTTTAAAGTGAAACTGGGAAAGGGTGACATCATGCTTTGTATATTGCTGTTCCTAGAGGCTTCCAGTACTACTCCTCTCCTGTTTTCTCTTCCCCCACCTCCGTGGAGAGCAGTCTGGGGAATCCACAAGCAAAGGGGAACTGCATACGGGACAGTATGATCCCCAGCTCAATCATAAACACTCTTGTAGTTCTTTAGAACATTGAGCCTTGTAACTAGCTATGCTGTAGTAAGATAATTTGAAGCAGGGGGGATAAAATGAATGGTGTTTTTTTTTAAAAAAATCAGTGATTCATATCACAATTTAAATTTAAAATCTATATTTTATTTAAATCATATCCACCCTGGGTTGAAGAGTATAAGCTTGAAAGAGAGAGAGAGAACTGTTGGTTAGCCCTTTATATTTCAAGAGCAACGCCAATATTGATTCAGGAATTTAGTGTGAATCTGTCCGTTGAGAACATAAAAGTGAATACACTGCAGGGCAATGCAGAAACATGGTCTAAGGGGGCCACCCTGTGTGGGTTGTATCTTTGTTTCTTTGGTAATTTGATATAATTTGCAGATATTTTTTTTAAGAAAACAAAGCCACTTCCTTGACTGCAAAGGCTCCCCACAGATTTTCAGTAGAGAGGTGAGAACTTGTAATGATTACAAGGGAGCAGCAGTTGGGTCATCTCTCGTCTGACCTGCACTGCCAAAAACCCCAGAGCCAGAGGCAGGAGAGGACTGCTGGGGATGAGGAAGGCTGTGTGCCGCAAGGGCAGCAGGCAGAGCGGGGCTCCAGCTGTGAGACGTGCATGAACCCTTGCAGGCTTAGGGGAGGCTGCAAGACAGGGAGCCAAAGGCTAATGTAGAGTTCACCCTCAGACAACAGAGAAAGGAGTGGGCGCCGGAGTCCAGTCTCCACATAGATCTGGGGCTGCCTCACTGAGGACTCCCAGCTTTGGCATCTCAAACTGCACCCTTCTTCCTCCCCTCTCCTAACCCCCCCTCAATATTTTTTTGGCTTTCCTGCCTGCGTTACATATCTTTGTCCCAATACCTGTACTGAAAACATGGGGTTGGCATTGCCTTTTCTTACCTGTTCATGAGCTTCTCAGAGGTGGGCACCCTCGTGGTTATTACTAGAAACAGAACACCTTGGGTATGACCCATTACTCCAGTTTTGTCATTACTTACTGACAGACTGTTTACATGCTGATCAAGGAGTGCAGGACTTAACTAATGTTTTGAGCATGGGCTATGTAGTCTTCCCTATCCCTGTGGTATCCCTTTGATGTGACTGGTTCCACCTCCTAGGAACAATCTCCTTACCCATGCCCCTTCAAAACCTGGGTAGCTTTGCTCTTGTATCCCACCGTTTGGAGAACATATTATTGGTGTTAAGTCACCCTGAGTGAGGTTGGGTCCCTTCTTTTGCTGCCTTAAATGGTCTAGATGAGCATCAAGCCAGAGAGTTTCCACAGGTCTTGATCCATCTCTTCTATGTTCCCCTACTAGGTTTCCCTAGAGAACTGTGTCGAGGTGGGGCGGATTGCCAACACATACAATCTCACGGAAGTGGATAAATATGTGAACAATTTCATCCTCAAGAACTTCCCAGCCTTGTTGAGTACGGGCGAGTTTGTGAAGCTGCCCTTTGAGCGCCTTGCCTTTGTCCTTTCGAGCAATAGCCTTAAGCACTGCACGGAGCTGGAGCTTTTCAAGGCGGCCTGCCGCTGGCTGCGCTACGAGGAGCCCCGGATGGAGTGCGCGGCCAAGCTCATGAAGAATATCCGGTTCCCTCTGATGACCCCGCAGGACCTGATCAACTACGTCCAGACCGTGGACTTCATGAGGACTGACAACACGTGCGTCAATTTGCTCTTGGAAGCCAGCAACTACCAAATGATGCCCTACATGCAGCCGGTGATGCAGTCGGAAAGGACGGCCATCCGTTCGGACAGCACCCACCTGGTGACGCTGGGCGGCGTGCTCCGGCAGCAGCTGGTGGTCAGCAAGGAGCTGAGGATGTACGACGAAAAAGCCCACGAGTGGCGGTCTCTGGCGCCCATGGACGCCCCCCGCTACCAGCACGGCATTGCCGTGATCGGGAACTTCCTTTATGTTGTCGGCGGGCAAAGCAATTACGATACAAAAGGAAAGACTGCCGTGGACACTGTGTTCAGGTTTGATCCTCGGTATAATAAGTGGATGCAAGTGGCTTCTTTGAATGAAAAGCGAACCTTCTTCCACCTAAGCGCCCTGAAGGGACATCTGTATGCAGTTGGTGGTCGAAATGCAGCTGGAGAGTTAGGTAAGTCTTTCCCCATGGCAGAAAAATAAAATACACCTTCTCTGCCCCCCCCCAATAACATTTTATGCAAACCTAGTTAAACATGTTTTGGTTAAACTGGAATTGACATGTTTCTCCACCTCCATTTTTTTTTCTCATGAGTACAGCCGTGAATGCAGAGTGAGTGTGGAAAATTACACTTGGTAATTGTTGCTTTTTTTTCTAGAGCAGGGAGAAATGTTAAGATTGTGCTGAGATTCTTGGTTCTCGTCCTTTACCATCTGCTTCTTGATGAACACTGAATCAAGCAGCTAATTGAAGGAGATCTGTAAGCCAGCAGTGCCCATCATTGCTGCCCATGTGACCCCCCACAGAGCACCTCTCTACTTAGTTTGGCTGGCTCCTGCCTGCTCGCTCCCACAGTTATGGTCCTTTGGGTTGTTAAATAATTGCACTGATTTCTCTAATAAGCTCCCTCCCTTTCTATGAAGACCACCCTTCGGTGATTTGGGGGCTGAAGTCCTTTTTCTTCTGTACCTGCATTTGCATTGCAAGTTTATTTCTCACCTTCCTGTAGGTATATTTGCAGCAAAAAGGTTGTTGAGTTAACATAATCTTCCCTTTTTTGTCATAAAAGAAATAGCTTGGAGGAAGGGACGCTGGTGAATTCCACCAAGTTGCAAGGGCATTGTGGGCTGGATTTTGCTTTCTTGATGTGAAACCCAGCAAGCAGAACCCCCCCCCCCCCAATCCTTGGCTTCCTAAGATGCAAGTGTGAGAGCTTTGCAAAGGAGCGCTTTCACCTTGCTCTTCAACCAATATGCCCCTGCTCGGTGCTGAGTGTGACTATGTTGTTCCTTGTGCTGCTTGAGAGATTCAGTTCTCTCTCTAAGAAAGGCTACACTTTCTGGGCCACATTGATTCAGAAAAAAAGGAGTGACCAACGTGGGGCAGGCCTGTTTTGCCCCCTCTTCCAGCCCAGAGGTAGACTGCAAACCCCCACCAACGGTTACGATCCTGGATCACAGCATGGTGGGAATGGTGAGCAAGGGGTGTTCTTCAGCTGTGGGGGTAGAGGCAGGAGGGGGCACTGTTTCATTCATGCCTGAATGCCCATGTTGCGTAATGGTGATGGAGTTGGGGAGTAGCTGAATTCTCTAGGGAAGCCCTGGGAGGTGTGTAGCTATATGGCTGTGTTGCAGCAGAACATGCACAGGGCCCCCTCCTCCTCCTCCTCCATGCGCCTACCACCATCATGACTTGGGAAAATGGACACATGTCTCTCTTTCCTCCATGGTGCATATTTGTCATCTGCAAGGCCTGATGTTCTGCACAGTGTTGGGGTTGTTCAGTCCTTTGCGCTTAAAAGCACAAGAGAGGGGGACAGTTACATGTGTGAATGGGGCTGGGATCTTTATTGGCCACAGGGTAGAGCATGTGTGTGGTGGAGAGGAGGAGGGTGGCAAGACTCTTTGGCACATGAATAGGAACAGTAGCTCAGGGATGGGGTAAACAAGGTGCATGAGCCTTAACACCAGTTTTGAGTTGGTAGTCACCTTGCTTTGAACTTGGAACTTTGCTTAGAAAGGGTAGGGTCCCTATGCTGTCGCTTTTCCACTTGTAACTTTCCCATTCCTTCTGTCTTTTTTTTTCTTTTAGCGAAAAAGTCTATTAACGGAGGAGAGGGGGAATGGAATAGCTACACAATGTCTCTTGATTAGTAGCATGAAGAGCTCTCTGCTTGCCATCTAAATTTGTGTTTCTTAAACATCAAAGACCTTGAAGAGGATTGCTCCCACCACTCTTAGTTTCTGCATGTTGCTGTTGTGTTTCAGAACAAATACATTGCACCCTCTCAAAGTCCCCCATTCAAGGATCCAAATTGCACTCTTGCCTGATTGCTGTGGAAGCAGCTGATATGCCCATATCATCCACTGGGACTATGTGCTGTACTGTCATTTTCAAAACCCATTTTTTTAAAAAAATGTGAAGACCAGCTTGGTTGCAGCTGGGTAGGCTCAGTGGCTTAGGTTTCTGGTTGCAGAGCCTGAAGTTGGGAGTTTGATTCCCCATTGGGCCTCCTTGGCGAGGGCTGGACAGGGGATGATCCAGAGGGTCCCTTCCAGCCCCACGTCATCATTCAGTGGGTCTCAGCCAAATGCAAGAATGTGGCCTTTTTGGGAGAAAGGGATGTGTGAGGACAGGAGGGTCCTGCCTATTCATCATGATGCTCTGTGCAAGAAGAGAATCTCTTGGGTGGTCGATGTGCAGAGGTGAAACAATTGTCTCCGAAATAAGTATAGGCAGCGATGTTCTTGCTTCGGCTTAGCTCCCGACTTTCACAGCCTTGTGCAGATGCTTGCAGTAAAGGCTGCCCAAGATATTTTGCTGTCTAAGGTGAAGGACCTGAGAGCATCCAGCTGACTGGGTCAGCTCTTGAAACTTTCCATGGTTTTCATCATTTTTTTGTCATCCTGGGCTGTACAGGAGGGTACCTCATTAGCTTTTTAGTATAAAAACCTTTGTAGCCTTCTGTATACCAAAGAGATAAAAAGAGATAAACCTTTTTCTTCCTAGTGCACTAGTTTTCTCGATCTAGGCTTTAGTTGTTTTAACACTCAAGTGGCATTCAACAAGAACACACTGTGTTGATGTTTCCTGCTACAAATCCCATCCATTTGAACGTGCTTTCCCTTGCCCTCAAAGGTCCGTGTGCCAGGACCAGAGAGCCATTTGCTGAAGCTGAATGTGAAGAGATTCAGCACAGATAAATGGCCTGCACCATTCATGATTAAACTGCTGCTGGTTTTGTGACGGCTGACCACCTGACAGCTTCAGATGTGGATCTTGGCGTTCTCAAGGTCTCTGGCCCGTGGTAGGATGCTGTTCCCCACCTGTAGTGTCAGGAGCCATATGGCTCTGCATACACAGGGGATCCTAAGCAGAAGGTTGATGTCTTGCGGGCAAGGGTTCTCCACAAGGAGGAGCTGGTTGGTCATGGTGAGAAATGGCACATTGGACTAGATGGGCCTGGGGTGTGATTCCTCAGGACTGTTGTTCCGTCCAGAGGTTGGGTTTTGGCCTTCTTTCAAACAGAGGCAACTTTAGGAAAGCTACAGGGAACACGTGTGTGTGTGTGTGTGTGTGTGTGTGTGTGTGTGTGAGAGAGAGAGAGAGAGAGAGAGAGAGAGAGAGAGAGAATGAGAGCACACTTTACATGCAGCTCAAGTGTGTGTGTGTGAGAGAGAGAGAGAGCACACTTTACATGCAGCTCAGTTCTTATTGCTGAGAAATAAATACAAAAGGAAGCTTTCTCCATAGCCATTCTCACAGCATTCTCTCTCACACACGGAAAAACCACACACATAATATATAAGACAACACACCAGAATAAGATAATCGTGGTTCTGGGGGGAAAAACACCTGGAGACAATATTTCTTATACTGACAGCAGCAGCTGGCGGTAGGGCTCTCTAGGAGTTGTGAAATCGTTTTTGTTCCATATTCTCTGTATGAATAAATGCACAAAACCTCAAGTCCAGTTCCTGTGCCTTGTGAGCAGACCCAGTGATCCGTAGAGTCCCTCCCAGCTCTGTAGTTCTAAGATCATTCTGACTATTATTTATTTGGAACAGAGAACATCCAAATGGAAGCTCCTGCCAAGCAACAAAGTGCCTTGTCCCTGAAAACAAGAGGAAAGTTCCTGTTCCAGTTTGTCTTCTCCTAGGTCTGGCTGCCTCTTGTGAGAAGGGGAGCACTACTTTCATCCATGTTTCTCAGTTACATCCTCTCACACCCAAATACAGTAGGGGCCCCTTTATCCATAGGATCAGTCTCTGCTGATTCACTTATCCACGGCCTGAAAATGTTAAAGGAAAAATCCTAGCAATATATATTTCTAAAGATGAAGTTACTGGAACTGGGCACTAAAGGGAGGCAGAGACCATGCATTCACTGTGCACATTTTTCAGCATTGGGGGGGGGGCGGCTTGCAGATACAGGGGGCCTACAGTATTGTGTTTCTAGTGAAAATGTTAAAGGAAAAATCCTAGCAATATATATTTCTAAAGATGAAGTTACCGGAACTATCCACTAAAGGGAGGCAGAGACCATGCATTCACTGTGCACATTTTTCAGCATTGGGGGGGGGCTTGCAGATACAGGGGGCCTGCACTATTGTGTTTCTAGTGAAGGTGTCAGAATTAAGTGTTGTCTGGCCTCTGGAGCCCTAAGTGCAGCTTGCCAGCTGTCCCTGCCATCGAAAACTCACCTGGCTTTTTTGCTGGTTTGTTTTTTCCTTTTAGCCACGGTGGAGTGTTACAATCCCAGGATGAATGAATGGAGCTACGTGGCAAAAATGAACGAGCCCCACTATGGCCATGCTGGGACAGTGTATGGGGGGCTAATGTACATTTCAGGTGAGTCATCTTGTTTCTGAGAAACCTCACCCCACGAAAGCAATGTCCTGTAAATGCTGTACCCCAAAAAGCCGTTCTTAGCACTTTCTGTTCCCAAATCAACTTCTGTTGCATTTGCAAACAGCAGGTCCTGTTATTTTCCCCCAAATCTCTTCAAACAGGCCATGCTGTTAAATCGCCAGCATTCATTTTAGATACAATTATCTCAGCTGGTTGGTTATCGTCTTCTTTTGAAGCATCCTCTTTAAAAGCTGATTTGTAGCTGGTTTTTTCCTCTTTAAAATGCAAGAACTTTAGAAATGCCTTACTTAGGAAATCACAAATCTGTATCGCTGGGCTGCCTCTAATCCCATGGCAAAAACTGGCTTATTTGGACTGGGATAAGTTGCACCTGAGGAAGGTGTAGCAAGTCCAATAAACACTAGGATAAATACAGCATCGTTTGGATAGAACTGGACAGCTTTGAAATCTAAACAAAGTATACATTGTGATCTCTGTCAAATACCTTGTCAAAGAGGAGAAGGATCATCCTGTGAAATAAGCTGGATCCTAGGGTTGATTAAAAAAAACCAATGGTTTTTAAAACTTCAAATTGATTTAAAATAACAATTTAAATCACAATGTAAATGAATTTTCCCTCTTTAAATTGTGAAAAAGTTCAGATTTTTAAAAATTTAAATCATTACTTAAATCACTTTGATTTAAATGAAATCCACCCATGTGGTCTGGTTTCATCAAAATATTCTGCTTGGAAATCTGGATGGGAGGAGGAAAGAAGCTGTCACATCCTCAAAAAATTATATTCTCCAGCAGAAGCAGGTGGCCTTTTGAACGCTTGACCCTCACCCTCCGATAATCCTGTCGGAGTGGAATCCACAGGGCGTGTTGCCCAAACGGCTGCCAGCCGAGGGCCTCTCCTTAGATCAGAATTTCCATGCAGGAAAGGTCTCCTTCACATTTGCTGAATGTGGGTGTACATCTGGCTCCCAACATTCAGACATGAAGGTGGGTCCATAGCCTCATTGCAGATGACCTGTTTGGCATGCAGAAGGTCCCTCGTTGGGCATCTCCCAGTTGACTGATGTCCAGCAGGGGGGAGGGAGCAGGAAAGACCCTTCTCTGTCTGTGATCCCAGAGAACGGCTAGCGTTCATTCTGGCCAGAAGGGACCAATATCTGTATGCAACAGCATTGAGATAGAAAAATCGAGGCTTTAAATTACCATATTTTTCCATGTATAAGATAAGATGCCCCCGTGTATAAGATGCCTCCCACTTTTGTAATCCAAAATTAAGAAATCTAAGTGGGTCTTAGCAAGTGTAGGGGTGAAGGGATCAAAGCGCTGCAGGATCACTTGTTTTTATTCTCTCCTCAGCTTACTTCCATGTATAAGACGACCCTCAATTTTTAGTGTAAAGATTTTAGGCAAAAGTATAGTCTTTTACATGGAAAAATACGGTACTTTGCAAAGAGGGGAAAATGCAACTGCCAGCCCCAGCCCAGACTTCAGAAATGGGAAACCTTTGCTTTGACCTGTGTCGGCCCCGTGTAGGATTTGCCCATTGGGGCTTGGGAGATCTTGGCTATTTTGAACTGAGCCAGAATACCTCACCGGCTGACCTTGAGCAAGTCAGATGCTTTCAGCCTGACCTGCTTTGCAGATTTGTTGTAAAAATAAAGTCTGATGGGTGGGAAGGCCAGCCTTGAGCTCATTTATAGAGAGATGGAGCGTGCCAGTAACAAATAAAATGAAATAAGAAATAAGTCACGATGGATGCAGCTTGTACTGAGAACCTCAATTGTCTCTTTCTTCAACATTCATTTCAGCTAATCCATTTTAATCGTTTATTTCTCTCTTCACCCACCTGACCCCCCCCAGGAGGCATCACCCACGACACTTTCCAGAAGGAACTCATGTGCTTTGACCCCGACACAGACAAATGGACCCAGAAGGCGCCGATGACCACGGTCAGGGGCCTTCACTGCATGTGTACTGTGGGCGATAAGCTTTACGTCATTGGCGGGAACCATTTCCGAGGAACCAGCGATTACGACGACGTTCTCAGCTGCGAATATTACTCGCCCACCCTGGACCAGTGGACGCCCATCGCGGCTATGCTGCGCGGTCAGAGTGATGTCGGGGTGGCTGTCTTTGAAAATAAAATATATGTAGTGGGCGGATATTCGTGGAATAACCGTTGTATGGTGGAAATAGTCCAGAAGTATGACCCAGAGAAGGATGAGTGGCACAAAGTCTTTGACCTCCCGGAATCCCTGGGGGGCATCCGTGCCTGCACACTGACAGTCTTTCCTCCTGAGGACGGTACAGGGTCACCTTCTAGAGAATCTCCTCTTTCGGCACCTTGAGAAAGCACTCCGTGGGACTCGCCATGTTGTCCGTTCCAGTCCTGTCGCGCTGCGGTCATGGGTTCTCCTCCTGTTTGTCTTCAGTAGTATCTATGAGGCTTTGCCCTGAAGCGCCTGTTGGCACGTGAACCGAAGGGGGGAGGGACCGGGGGTGCGGAGAGAAAGATCAGCCTTACTTGTGCTCTTTGATCGGGAATGTCTATCAAACCGGACCATGGGACACGTTGGGGTGGGGGGCAGGGGGGGTTTGGAGCCAGATGTTTAGCAAAGGAGGACAACCGGTTGTCTTTGAAGCAGTATCTTTGTATTCGCTCCGCCAGTGGTTGTGTCTTAGGCGTGAGGATAACGTGCAGCGTAAGAAACCAGTAAGCCAAGCCAGCAGACGTGGGGAGCGGGGAGGACGCAACACGCAGGGAACCGTGTTTGCTAAGCTGGGTTGCTGAAGGGCAGCCTTTCCTTGGTGCATCTGTGGGGAGAGAAGCTGTCTACCAGTGCAAATGTTTTGGCTGTTAGCTGCCCCCCCACCATCTCCCAGTCGAATGGGGCGTGTTTAGGCCTCTTTCCCCAACTTGTCTCCAGGGGTAATTTTCAGAGGATAGGTCAGACAGGAGAAACGTGGCCGTTTTGAAACCCTTAATAAATAGATAAGAGGCAGAACCTGAATCTGTTAAAAAAAAAACCAATATGTTTTAAAAAGTAATATATTCATATTGTTTCCTCCCCCCTCCCAATCCACCACAAGAAAAAGGAAACATGCCCACGGTTTTGCATTCTGGTCCTTTTCCTTCTGTTTTTTTTCCCCCTTGTTTCTTCCTTCCTGCAGCCCCCCCCCTCCCCAAATGAGAAGAAAGCCTGCTTCCTCTGGGTTCGCTAATGGGAGCCTGAGCTACCCGTACATGAGGATTCAGTTCGGTCGTGCCATGACCTGCTTTGGGTGCCTGCACTGCCTTTTAGGTAGACAAGGGCTAGAAACTGTTTACTTAAGCCACTAAAATTTCTGACCAAACAGTTCCTTGCAGATTAAATTGAATCTCCCTTCGGTCCCATCTTCCCTGTCAGCCAATCTCCTTCTGGTGGTAAGAGAACTTGCCTCACACCTCTGTATAGAATCTCAGTTAAAACGGTTATTTAGCACAAATGCAGCTGGGACAGCAGCAAGCTGCTTTTGCTCAGAGAATTCAGACTACCGTGTTTCTTTTGTTCAATAAAATCTTTAACTGCAATTAGTTGGGTCTTTTTTCTTCCTCCCTCCCTCCTCTTAAAGGAGGTCTCGTGAACGTTCCTGTCCTTCTCCCACCTCCCCTGTTGCCAGGTAACCTGTGTATATATCCTCGTGTGTGGGCTGCGCAGCCTGCTGGCAAGCTGGTTCTGCCAGAGCTTCCCAAATGGAGAGCTTGACCTACTTTCCTCCCCCCCCCCACTCCCGGGAAGCTCCCCTGGGAAGCCCGGTCAGATCCCTCGGTGCCTTCGGAGTCTGAAAGTGGGGCCTGCTGCCTCGTGGCAAAAAGTGCTTCTTTGTAGGGCATCCAAGCCTGCCTGGACTGCAGACGCCTCCAGACAGCGTTTCCTCATGCCGGCATTGAATGGCTTTGGCTGCTGCTTCGTGGAAGCAAGCTGCGAGGCAGGGCAGCAGGATCGCTCCCCATGTTGTTGTGTACAGGGCGTCTGCTTGCAAAAAAAAAGAGGGCAAAAGAGGACACTGGTGTGCTTAAAACTGCATATGTTAATTTATACTCACAGATGTAGAGTAAGAAGAGATATAACAGGGACGAACTGGCAGCACATCTTGCTTGAGTGGGAAAGACAACAGCCAGGTGACTTCTTGGGCTGCTAAGCAGATGCTGCTCCCTGTGGCTGATGGGCACTTTCCAAGTTCGTAATTGGCTTCCACCTCCTGTTTCTTTATCTCTAAATTTAGATGCAGATCAGGCAGCCCTAAGGGTCACTGATCCCCAGCAGCCTTTCAGATGGAGGACTGGCCTGCCTGATAAAGAAGACATGGCCTGAGGGTTGTTTTTTTTTGGGGGGGGGAAGAATGATGCTTTAGGATGGCATCTGCCAGACAGCCTTGCTGGCTGAGAAATTCTGGGTCCTGTAGCCCCCCCCAAAATTGCTTTTCTGGCTGCTGAGTATGATGCAAATCCTTGCCTAGCCGTATGGTTCACCGAGTGACCTTAGGTTCATTGAAGTGTCTCAGCCTCACCTAGGGTAACTTTCATCCGAGATTCTTGTGGAATTGTGGTGGGGGGTGGCTGTCGTTATTTGCTTGAGCACTTTGGAGAGCAGTGGATCTAAAGCATCCTGAGAGGATGATGGTGCATGAGAATCCGTAAAGGAGCAGAAAAGAAACACAGCCGTTTAAAGCTCTCAAGGGCTGTGTTTTTCATAAAATAAAAATAACCAGTCTTTTGTGCCTGCCTATATAGGTCTTGAACATATGGGCACAGCCTACGGGGGACTTGAAAGCCGGAGAGGCAGCTGAACAAGCTCTCCAGCTGTCATGGCAGAGCTTGTATCCTGGGCTTGCCCAAATTCTCCCCTCCGTCACGTCACCTTCCTCTGCATTACTTTTCCAGCTTTGGGGAATGCAGCTCTTTGGGTTCACACGGCAGGAGAGATTTTTCACTTTGGCGCAAAATCAGTGCAGGCTTCAGCACCTGAGCCCATTAAAAATAAGCTACTGAAATAAATAAGAGCGTGGAAACGGTTGTTGGAGGAAGCTCAATGCAGGGTCAGGATAGGACATTTAATATTTCTTTTTTCCATTTGCCACTGAAGTCCTATTCCTAGGCCATGCAAGGCCCGTCTGGAAGTGCTCTGTTTGAAATGTTAGAAGCCTTGTTTGTAATCAAGAGTTGGAATTTCTTTTCTGCCTTTGGAAACTAAGCTTGCAGCAGGGGTGTCTGAGACTGGTTTCCTGCGATCCAGCCTTCAGGAGCCTCTTCATGCAATAACTGCCTCCCCCCACGCACACACATCATAATCTGGGTAGCTGCAGTTTGTGCATTCAGCATCTGTTTGGGGAAAACATGCCAAGAGGAAAGACACTAAAACCAAGCAGTGCTTCTGAACCTTCCCTGCCTTTCAAATATTTTCATCCCACTCTGCTCAGTTTAACTGGTGGTCTCTGTGTGTTTTGTTCAAGTCAGAACATTTTTAAGATCAATGCAGTTGTTTGGAGTACCAAGTCCTAAATGATAGACTCTGGCAGAGGAGTACGGCAGGCGGCCCATTAAGGTAGCCAATCTCTCCTGCTCTGGGAAAGGCTGCCTTTCAGAAGAAGCTGTCCGTCTTTTCTAGAGCTGGGGGAAATTACGGTTGGACAACAGTTCCCAGTATCCTCCACCCAGCATGGCCAGTGGGTGAAATTTAGGGAATGGCAGTCTAGAAACTAGTATTTCCCATCTCTTTTTTTTTCTATACATGGGGGGTTTCCATGAGGAGGCAGACATAGCAAAAATATATGGTGTGTGTGTGTGTGAGCGTGAGCTCCCAAAACTGTGTTCAGTGCCTTAAAACTATTGTTTCTATTGCCCTGTTGGTGAAGATTTCAAGTGCCCTGCAAGTGAAGGCTGGAGTAGGGGGACTTACAAAAATGCTAGCAAGATGGAAATTGGGACCCTCTGTGGCTGCTAATCAGGATGGCTCTCTCTCTCTCTCTCTCTTGGGTGGAAGAGGCAGTTGGCTTTTGTGCTTGGTTGCATCCACATCTGCTGGCGAGCTCCTCGTAGGCCATGGGGTGGCTGCTTTAGGAGCAGAATATTGGGCCTAGAGAGAGCTTTGGTCTGATCCCACAATCTGGTACACTCCAGATATCATAGATGAACTTTTCGCCATGTGGGAAGGGAGTTTGTGGGCAACCACCAAAGAAGCCCACAAATGGAGCTGCTTAATGGTTGTTCCCAGGCAATGGGGTCTTCATCAGCAAATCTTTGGCTCCTGGTGGGAAAAACGTACCGCGATTCAACTGGGGATAAATTGATTTGATAACAGACTTGTTTCACAGGGAATGCACAGCCCATCAAAACTGTATTCCACTCCGACCCCCTGCTGTTCAGTTGCCTCTTGAATCAGGCTATCGGTCCATGTCTTCCCCCCTGCTGTTAAGGTCACCTTGCAAAACCTCTACAGGGTTTCAGGTGAGATCCACCTCTGGTCCCACCTGGAAGTGCTGACATCGTGGTGGTTTCCCATCTGAGCCTTAACCCGGCCAGCTTTCTGAAGCTCGGTACGATTGTGGGAATACACTCAATGTCTGGAAGACCAGCATTTCCACACGGCCAGGTAAGACAGGCAGCAGCAGTGACAAAGACCTTCTGGGCGCCTTCCAAGTCATTCCATGGATGGAGGCATCCGAAAAACTGGCCCATGATCTGCAAAAAGCCCATTCACCTTCGAGAGGCTGCAAGAAAACATGGCACCCTCTTAGCAGCTCTAAGGGGGCCATAGCTCTGAAGGACCAGGCTTTGACAGCTGCTCAACACAGCATCCTGCAGCTGTGCTTTGCACCATCCATGAAGCAGCTGCAACTTTTACATGTGATGCATCGATGAGGCTGGGGAAGCTGCCTCCCACCCTCACCCTCGGCAACAAATGCTTCCAGAACAGCTGGGAATGCCAGAAAGATGTGGGGGAGAAAGCAGAGACATAGCTGGGTTGGGCAAGAGAGGCGAAGCAGGCATCGCAGGGGGTGTGCAGCCAGAGGACCCTGACAGCATGCTTTGGCTCCGAAGACCTCTGAAAATGCCAGGAAAAGACAGATGCAGAACCCAGCCCGTTCAAAACCCTTGCCCCAGCAAGCAAGATCAGTTGGCAAATGCCAAAAAGGTGGAAGGGCAACCGGGAAGGAGTCGGCCCACCTTCCATCAGAAGGAGACCCACGGACTCCTAGCAGCCACTTCTGGCTGGGAGGCCTTTTCAGTGGCTGTTTCCAGGCTGTGGGGCTTCCTTCCTACAGAAGCCCGAGGCTGGCCCGCTACCACCTGTTGTTCTCAGGCATGTGCTTGATTCTACCCCTGTGAAGGGTGCTCAGAGCTTGGAAAGGATTCATTCAAAAGACCATCTTTCATTGATGCTTTCAAACAATTCAACGGTTCCATTCTAGACCATGGGTAGCCATGTCGTTGGACAACCCAACGAGCTCTCGGGGGTCCCAGCCAACCCAACCGATAGGGAAAGTTGTAGTTACAGTTGGGAGTGGTAGTTCAATAATGTGAGGAGAAGCTGAGGCCTCCACAGCCCCGGGCGAGCCCTCCTCCTCCCCCTTCAGCAGCAGCACAACAATTATGCAGAAGTAATAACTATGCAAATGAGGTTGATTGAATTCTTGGACCTTCCGTGGGTTTGTCGCAATGCAGAACCAAGAGTGCACTTTTCAACTTTGTTTCGAAAACCTAGGGCATCCTGCTTGTTGCCCTGGATTTTCGCAAACAGGGCTGTATCCTGTAGATATGAGGAGGTGGAAGAACCGCTTAACTCTGCTTTTGTTGACTTGAGATCTCAGGGGAGCAGATTATGAGGAAAGGAATATCACGTCCTCTACTTCTTCAGAAGTAGCTGTGGGGTGGATTTTCCCTCCTACAGTTCGCACGATGTCTCCCCCACTTGCCTTTCTTGGAAAGAGTCTTTGGCAAGTGAAATCTGACTTAATGCTTAAATCAATGGCATTGGGCGCTGGGTTCAGATTGGACGGGCTGCCCGTCTCCATAACAACCCCAACGGATGATTTTTCTCTGTCAATAGGCACCCTTGACGAGAATATTCTCTGAAACCTATCGGAAGTCTCTGTGGGCAGGAAACACAGCTGATCTTTCTCTTCTTCTTCTATACACCAGCCAGGGCTCAATTTCCCTGGGAGTTTAGGTCCCTTTAAAAAAATGAGGGAGGGGGAAAAAAAATACCCACCCGGCCAAATGCTTCACTCCAGTGCAGAAGGTGGAACTGCAATTCCATGTTCATACTTCACTCTGATCTTGGGGACAACCCCCCTCATTTGGAAGGGGAGAAAAATCTGGGGGGGTGTGTGCGCAGAAAAATGAAATGAGCTTAGAAGCCACCTTAGTGCTTTGGATTGGGGCTGGGGGGGGTTGCAGGCTGGGTTGGACGTCTTGGAAAAATCCTGGAGTTTAGATCTGGAGAGTTTTGACTCGATTCATTTTCTAAAACGTTGGAAGTCTTCCCAAAGGAGAAACTGACAAAAAAAATGGTGGCTGTAAAAAAAAAGAGA